AAATTCCATTGGTCGAGAAGAATACATATAGCTCCAAAAGTAAGTCAATATCATATATAATAATAGTAATATTTATACTGCATGGTTGAGAGCTGAAGATCACCTACATTGATGTGTTACTTGTAGGAGTGACCATAACTTCGCCATACTCATCAAAGTTTTTTCGATACTTTATAAGGCCATGATATATTATTTTATATCCCTGTCAACGAATTTACGTTTCAATCACTATATGCGTAAATAACAAAAAAAAGTTCTCAATGGTGGTAATTCTGGGCAACATTTGGGAAGTGTCCCAGAATAACGTTCGTGAAATCTGTGAGTTAATACTGCAGAAAAAATAAGAAAAGATGTTCCTATCAACATGTGTCTGGAAATTTGATACTTATAGGGGTGATTGGGTATTACAAATTGTTTTGTGGTACGGAAAACATGATTCAATATACAAGGAGTTACGAAACTCGTGACTAATGCTATAAAAAAGCCCCAAATTTTTTGTTGCAATATTTATGCCATTTCTACTACCAGAATATAATTTGTCGAACACTTATACATGAAAAAAGTATTATTGTTAGAATGTCGTGAAACGAACCGTTTTCGAGAAACGGCTATTTTTTTATTTTGATTTCCAAAAAATTTTACCTAGTGGATATAAAATTTTAAAATTTGCTATTCAAGACCTACATTCAAATGGCTCTAGCGCCCTTTAAGGAATCATTGTCAGACATAATATATTGATAGGAATATTTTTTCTGATTTTCATCAGCACAATCACCTCCCGGAGTAGACGAACGTTATTATGAGACACCCTGTATAATGATGAATTGAAGAGTAGTATTCTCACTGATTCTACATATCGATCACTTGTGACTATTTTGGATTGTGAGTTATGTTTATGTTTACTAGTTGCTGTACTCAACTCAGTCTCCTCCCATTCTTGGATCAGTTAAGCGTCTTCAGCGTTCTTGAAATTAAATATAGTATTTTTCATGGCACTGTGAGCTGTTTGTTGGAAGAATGTCCTGTGCTAATCTGACAAAGCCAGTCGGTCACTAGTCGCTCGAAAATAAAAAAATTGCTCACCAAAAATTAGTTTCCCCTTGGGGCTCGTTCCAAATGTAACCCGATATCGTATTTCCATCGACCTCTACAGAGTGAAGCGATTTCGGAGTATTATCCGGGAAATTTTAATTTCCTCACGTCTCTCTTTCGTACGAGGATATATGACGGGCAGATACTCATTTACCGTGATTTGGTGCGGGAGATATTTTATCCAGATAATGTTCGATCATTTCATGTCACTGTTTTTAGAAGTAGTATGTGAATTTAGTATAGGTATACTCAGTTGATATGTATGTACATACCAACTGGATTTGTTACTGACTCCAAACACCACCTCAGAAGTAGCACTGATGAATTCATATAAGAACTTTTGTGGACCCAGAGCAGCAATTTTCGTTCGATGAATAATCGTACGGCATAATAGTGAAAATTGTGGAACCACTTAGCTTATCTTCTCAACGGTTCACTTTCTTGAAAGGTTATGTCCTTTTTTTGAAAAAATACTCATCAATGTATCGGTCAATTTGTCTGGGAACCATGAAGTCAGTCAGTCAGAACCAACACTACGATGGGTACTATAAATCACATACAGGGTATGAGGGCACCGAAGAGGCTAATTTACCTGCCCGAGCAGAAGCAAGTTAACCTCTGAATGGACAGGACAAATGATGCATACAAATCAAATGTCAAATAATGGTGGAACAAGTCCCTAGAAATGATACAGGTGAAGGAGTTTATTGAAAAACCATCGCCAATATTCAGAAACGAAGTTCAACTAGAATATTAGTGGAAATTCTCACAGGTTTTTGTAGACTCAACAAACACTCAAGAATGATGTAGGTCTGACTGAAGAACTGCTGTGCAGGTTTAAACAGGAAGAGACGGAAACAGCAGTACAAAGTACACATTCTTTGCCACTGTGAGGGCTTGTGAAAAAAAAAGTTTCTAACGCTGGGAGAGGGAAAGAACCAATAGCCCGAAGATACGTATAGCTCTTTTCAAGATCTAAGAAACTGACCTGACCTCAGATGGCTAGACTTTTCGAATTTACCGTGCAGGGCCGCACTATACCTGATGAAAATACACTATCACTGCATAACTTAATATCTGACAGTATTTCAGAATGTGTCGAACATTTAAGAACAAAATAAAATACACCATATCTTACTCTAAATCACTTTCGCTATCTCTACTATCTTCCGAATTGATAATTTTTCTTTTTATAGGTTCATGGATATTTATATACATAGAACGATGAGAGTTTAACATTTTTCAACGTGTTCAGTACAGTTCCTTCAGTTTTCAACGGTAAAATTTTCGACTCCTCTGTTTATCAGATTACAATTACATCTCCTGCTGACAATTGGAACAACTCTGTTCATCCTAGATCTCTTAGTTATGAGATTTAGCAGTCAATTACACTAGGATTTGGAGTTGGTGTATTCTTGTGCGCTCGTATATCAGACTTGAGTTTATGCCATATCAACTCGATCGGATTACAAATGCAGTAATATGGCAGAAACCGAATTATTCCGTGACCTGCTACCTCTGCAATTTCATCGCGAACGTTTTTTTTTTTTGAAATTGTAATATTTCAAAACCTCTATGAATTGCTTAACATTATAACTCTTATGGAAATATATGTCACGTTCAGACAAAAAGTTGTATTTCTTTCTTTCTGCTGGTGGAACTTGGCACTATATTCAATTGGCGACTATGGTAGGATGCATTATCCATCACAATACTGCTCTCTGGTGGTATACTCGGAAATGATTTGATTTGAAACCAGTCCTCAAAAACTTCAGCAGATGTATCGCAGTGGTAATCTAAGCTGGAATCCGAAATGTTTTTGGCTGCCAGTTTGGTACCCAGCCTTCTTCTGACCCCGCATACGTTTTCTACGTTGTTGCAAGCGGTGTGATTCCATTATAACTTGCCTTTTGCCTATTTTTTGAAACCATCCTCGCTCTCCATACGTCTGATAAACTTTTGGACGGATTGAATCTTCATTGCAAATATCAACATATCTAGGTGCACCACTGTCTTTTCGTACTTTTCTAGGCTTTATAGTATTATTTACAATTTTCCGGACTGTACTTTCAGGAACGGCGGTTAGAGTTGATGTTTCCTTCAATGAAAAATGTTTGTTGTGGCCTTGCTCTACTAACTTCAAATAAACACTTTCAACGATCATTTTTGTTTCAACAGGCAAACATTGTCGGCTACTGCCATACACTATCACGTGTCGAGCCAACGACAAAATAAATACGACCCTGTCACGGCTAATACTTTTATGGCTTTATCACATTTATGTCATGATCCAATCTTAGGTCAGGTCAGTTCCTCAGATATTGGAAAGAACTTTACAGGGGATCTGAAAGCTAGTTTGTTAATCTGTGTCCATATGGAGTTTCATAGAGGCCGACAAAATAGATCTGAGAAGATGCAAAGGTGTGGGTGTGAATGCAAATATAGCCTGAAGTCCCAGTTTTGATCTAATTTAATCTAAAGTATACAAGTCTCACTTTTCTACTCCCAGTTATAGGCAATTCCATTACAAAAGGAGGATGATGATGATAATAATAATAATTTGACATTTGAATTTCACAATTTCTCTCCTTCTTGCTTCTGTCTCGATTCGGATGGAGATAGCATTCATCCGTTATTGATGTTTGTTCATCAGATTCCATGTCTCTCTGCTGTACAGTGTGTCTCGTTTTCGATGCTTTTGGGTGATGTTTCAGTAATCTTTGGAGATAGAGCCTTGTGGTTATTGCAGTCCGGCAACTTTTTCGTGAATTTCAAGATGGCCCAATCAGATTTTGGATAACTGTTTCTGTTTATTAGATACAGGACGATTTTAGAGATTCCTACTTTTTGATACCTCTCTATATCTACAAAGTTTTTCGGCGAAGATGTCAAATCGAAATCTTCTTCCTGAGAGCAGAATCAAGTGACGCACTTGATTTTTTTTCGGGGTATGGTTTTGCAGATACGACTCAACCTTGATGATGATTTTTTGAATGGAACACACCTTGTATTTCATGAGCTCAATGAATCTTTCACTTTTTTGCCTTCAGAATGATAACATATTTAAATATGAAATTATCCAAAGTGCTCCAATACCACAAATATTAATAAAAAGTTCAATATGTAGAAGGAGCACCGTATTGAATATTAACTGTCGAACAATTCGATGAATAAGTTACTGAATAATTTCGCAATCCAATTGTTTTAGTAAATAATTAATCAGGTGCCTATTCTACTTTATGAATTTTTTATTACTATCTACTACTTGTTGCTATCAGGTTCCTGAATTTGTGTTTTGTTGGTTAATCAGTGTGGTATCGTTTTCGCCCTTTTCATGAAAGAATCAAAAGAAATATTCCTCCAATTGGACTCTTCTCTATATGAAATATCCATGGCACACTATTAGAATTCATTTTAGTGATTCTCGAGCATTTTGGAGAATTTTATATTTGTACATTATATATCATTTCGAAGGAAAGAAGTATAGAATTCAATGAGCTCATAAAGTACAGGGTATTCTATTCGAAAAATCATAAGTTCGTGCAATATCTACAGAACTATACCACAAAATATGAATCTGAGTGCGCCAATGAATTCTGCGAAAAATTCTCCATAGGATCTTATTTCAATTTGACATTGTCTCTGAGAAACTTCGTAGATATAAGGGGGTCCAAAAAGTATAAATTTACAAGTTATCCAAAATCTGATTAGGCCATTTTGATTTCATAAAGAAGTGGCACAGGACCGCGAGAATCGCAAGGTTGTATCTCCAAAGATAACTGATATATCACACAAAACCGTCGAAAACTGGACACACTGTACTGCTGTACATTATCATTGGGTGACCCACCTCTTATTACTGTTATCTTCATCCTGTAAAGATAGAAATTCTGTCATTTTGTTTCCAGGAAGTGTATCTGGACGACAACTATATCGAATTCATATCAAATCGAGCTTTCGATGGCTTACGGTTCTTGAAGACAATTAGCCTGAGGAACAATCGCCTAACCAGGTTCCCAGCCGGTCTGCTGACTAGTGTATTTACGCTGGTCAACCTCGACGTGAGCAACAATAGACTAGAAACTCTGCTGTTCGATTCCATCGAGCAATTCTACAATAACCTCATACACAATGGGACAATGCAGTTGAAAGGTATGTTACAGCCAATCATTGATCGATCATGTGAACACAAATAGTAGAAATAACAGGTCATCTGAATGTTATGACGAGGAATAAAAAGTGCTGTTCGGATTAACAACAAGCACAATTTGACAAAAAAATTTACTCTGTTTTTGTGATCAGTTCACACATTCGGATACTGTATTGTTTATGAATTTTGAATAAAAATGTATCAACCATGTGACTACTGCTAGTTAACCGATAAAAACACTTTTTATTCATACACATCCTGCAGCAAGTTGAAACAGTCAATATGCTCCCAATCTGCTAGTAAAATGAAATATTTCAATTTCATTTGTCAATGCAGACAGGTTTCCAAATTATCGACGTGAAATTTCAAGTTTTCAACAGTGAGGACACCTGCGCTGTAGGCATCTTTTGAAGTAATCAAATATCTGATGTGACTTCTGTCAGTCTAATTATGCGATATGATTTCAAAAAATTGCGAATTTAGTGGTTGTTCAGTAATATACGTAACCGCGAAGTCGAATGGAAGAAAAAAGGACTTGCAGTTCTTTCTCGGAGACGGTATTATTGACTCATTTTTCGGAACTATAGCACAACAGAAGTCATCAACAGTGTATATATATTATTATGTGATATATATCCGGAAAAGTGACATTCCATAACCTGCCAATAGAGATGAAATGTCAAACTTATTTCCCGTCATAGAAAAAAATGTATATTATTCCGTTACGATGACAATGCGACCAACGTGACGACTCCAACTCAACTTAGACAATGCGTGAACGTTATTTTTCGTACGTTGACGTCTACGTTGAGGTTCACGTTGTTTATATTGAGTTCATCGGGTCTACGCATAGTGATTACTTCGACTCTCTATTTATATAGTGCGATTTGAATTAAACTTGTACCGATACAAATAACAATCAATATGCTCAGTATTTCAGAGAAGAACATTCTTTCAAACAGTGCCGTGAATTTTCAATTGCAAATTTTGGAACCTTCAATAGCTCCAGTAGCTAGAAAATGGTTATTTGAGAAAAAAAACAAGACATACTTCCTTGATGAACTCACCGTTTCCGAGTTGATAATTATTTACGTTCGCAAAATTGCTATTTGTGTGTGCCATTATTTCTGAAAATCATCATAGTAATCATACGGAAATCTACACATGGGGGTTTGAAACACTATGTGGAACAATATCATGATACCGCCTGAGTAGTAAAGATTGGCCGGTTCTGGCTCTCCGCCCTAGGTCACCGTCCTCCGACCTTGGGCGGAGTGACCTTGGGCGGGAGTGACCTTGGGCGGGAGTGACCTTGAACGGGTCTGACCTTGGGCGGGAGTAACCTCGTATAGTGAAGTGTCGACAGCACGCCCTTGAACGCGGAGGTGACCTTGAGGGCGAGACAAAGTGACCTTGAAGGAAGGTTGTACGAGTAACCTTCGCATATGTGACCTTGGGAACGAGTGACCTTGAGTTGTAGAGAGAGAGAGAGAGAGACCTCGACCTTGGAGAGGAAGGTGAAAGCGTGTGCGACCTTGAAAATGGGAGTAGGCTGGTCGAGGTCGTTTTGGTAGAAGTGGGGTGCTGTGTTACGTCATGACTCCCTCCTATATAAACCCAATAGTTGTGTCCATGAGAGCACAGTTCTCTCTCAATACTATCATCAAACATCAAGTTGAATAGTTCTTTGTGAGTGATAAATCATCTAAACAAAATGTTAGTTTGCAGTGTGTGCGCTAAACCTTTCACACGTAGTGACAATCTACGACGTCATCAAAGGGTTGCATGTGTGGGAAATTTCAACCCATCTATTGCAAAGAAGCCTCGACTGGAAGATGGCACTCAGCAAGCAGCAACTTCTGCAAATGTGCAGACATGTACTGTTTGCAATAAGACCATTCCAACCGATAAAATGGGTGCGCATAAAAGGACATTGGAGCATCGGACAAACGCTTGCGTCAATTATAGGGACGGAGTATATGTGATTGAAAATGCGTTCAAATGCCGCATTGTGAGCTATCGATTGGAATGCAGAACTGATGTATTGGATTACAATACGTTTTTTAATGAGAATAAGGCAACCATTATATCTTTATTGGATAATATAATCTCGATTCACCACTCCATCAAGGTGAATATGGAAGTGTTTGGAAGATACATTTTACAATCCCAAGATCTTCATGACATCAAATCCTTCATGACGCCAAATCACATCATGGATTCATCGCTGGATTTGGATGCCGTGGTTGACACATTCAAGGACATCTTATTGAATCAAACGACCGAATTCGAGGAGCGTGATTCTGGTGAGTTGGTATGATTTTTGAAATATTTCTGATTATTAACAGATGTTACTATTGTTATAGGTTGGGCTTTAGAAAAAATAATGTTCCTGGAAATCAATATCAACAAGTACAGCCCTCTGCGTGGATGCTCTTACATGAAGCTACCTAGCTTCATAGAGAATAAAAAGGCCGTTGTAAACATAGTGAATCAGGACGAGTGCTGTTTCGCTTGGGCTGTGACGTCTGCACTGTATCCGGCAAGAGCTAATGTTTGCGAAACCTCTTCATATCCGCACTATTCTACAGTTCTGAATTTGGTGGGTATAGAGTTCCCTGTTAAAGTGAGTAGCATTCCAAAATTCGAAATTCTCAATGATTGTTCCATCAACGTTTACGGGTTAGAGAGTATATTTGAAGATCATCAAGTGAAATATCATGTAGTCGGCCCACTGTATTACTCCAAGAAAAGAATGAGTAAACATGTGAATTTACTTTTGACCACAGATGATGAAACTGGAAATAGCCACTATTGCTGGATAAAGAATTTATCAAGGCTGGTATCTAGCCAGATATCTGCCAAAGCGCATAAGAAATTTTTTTGCGACGGTTGTTTGATATATTTCTCAGATGAAACAAAGTTGTTACGCCATCAGCTGAATGATTGTAATCATACATATACTACAACTCCGTCCACAGAGATCAAAGTCGATAAATTTGGAAATTCAGTACCTGAAAACATTTTGAAATTCGAGAAATTTGAGAAACAGATGAAAGTACCATTCGTTATTTATGCAGATTTCGAATCAGTTCTGAAACCGATACATACTAGTCAGCCAGATCCGAATAAACCCTTTACTAATAGAACATTCGCACATGAACCTTATTCATTTGCATACCTTATCAAATGCTCTTTCGATAATTCTATCACGAAATATGTTACATTCCGTGGAAAAGATGCTGCGAAAAAATTCGTATCCAATTTAGTCAATGACTGCAAAATAATATACAACTTGTTTCTAAAACGTGTAGTTCCTATGGAAAAATTAACTCCGGCAGAAGAAGTTGAATTCGCTAATGCCACGGAGTGCGGTATTTGCGATAAAGCTTTTATATATGGCGACGTCAAAGTGAGAGACCACTGCCATCTAACGGGAAAAAAAAGATTCGGTGCCGCACATTCAATATGTAATTTGAACTTTAAAATTCCAAATTTCATCCCCATATTTTTTCATAATATGAGTGGCTACGATAGCCACCTTTTCATCAAGCAATTATTCGATAGAGAAGAGAGAGTTGATTGTATCGCGCAAACTAAGGAAAAATATATTTCATTTACCAAACATATTTTAGTAGACGAATATTTGGGAAAAAACGGTGTGAATCAGAATGTCTTCTTGAAACTGCGATTCTTGGATAGCTACAAATTCCTTGCCCAACCCCTGCAATCCTTGGCCGAAAATTTGAATGAATCTCAATTTGTAGAAACTGCTAGATATTTTCGCGACCCTGAAGAATTCAAATACATGACGCAGAAGGGAGTTTTTCCATATAGTTTCATAACGTCTATGGATAAATTGGATAATGAAGATCTGCCATCAAAAAGTGATTTTTTCGATAATTTATCTAATACACATATTTCGGACGAGGATTATCGAAGAGCTGAGCATGTTTGGAATTTATTCCAATGTAAATCACTCGGTGATTACTCCGACCTTTATTTAAAATCAGATGTTTTATTATTATGTGATGTTTTCGAGAACTTCCGGAATGTTTGTTTGAAAACGTACAAGTTAGATCCGTGCCAATACTTCACTGCACCCGGTTTATCGTGGGATGCTATGTTGAGGTACACAAAAATCGAATTGGAATTGTTAACCGACATCGATATGATTCATTTTTTCAAAAAAGGTATAAGAGGCGGGATTAGTCAATGTAGTCTGAGGAGTCATGTTGCGAATAATAAGTTCATCCCAAACTTCAATCCAAATGAACCATCAACATTTATCATGTATTTAGATGCAACTAACTTGTACGGTCATAGTATGTCACAGCCGCTACCAACATCCGATTTTAGGTGGTTGACCAACCAAGAAATTATAGAGTTAGATGTCATGAGCGTTGAAAACGATAGCCCATATGGGTATGTCCTTGAAGTTGAAGTGTACTATCCTGAAGAATTACATGATGCACACTCAGATCTACCCTTCCTCGTGGAATCCATTGCTCCACCCGGATCGAAATCTAAGCTGAAAAAACTGATTCCTAATTTATCGAATAAAATTAAATATATTGTTCATTACAGAAATCTCAAACAGGCTATGGAAAACGGTTTGACCTTGATAAAAACACATAGAGTTCTCAAATTTAAGCAATCCCCGTGGTTAAAAAAGTATGTTGACCTCAATACAGAAATGCGTAATAAGAGTACAAATAAAGCTGATAAAAGTTTATACAAGAATATGGTCAACTCAGTTTATGGCAAAACCATGGAGAATGTTGATAAAAGAAGCGATATCAAACTTGTGACTCATTGGGAAAGTATCACAAAGAGGAAGGGTGCTAATGCATTGATAGCACTCCCCAATTATAAAACCTGTAAAGTATTCCATGAAAATTTCGTAGCAATCCATATGGGAAAAGTTAAAGTGCATTATGATAAACCGCTGTATTTAGGTTTCAGCATATTAGATGTATCAAAAGTCGTTATATATAACTTTCTGTATGAATGCATTAAGAAACATTTCTCTGGTAAATCGTGGCTATTGTATACTGATACGGATTCTTCGATATTGAAAATAGAAACAGAAAATTTTTATAATTTCATGAAGGAGAATATAAGGTATTTCGACACATCTAATTACCCCGTAGATAACAAATTCAATATTCCAATAACGAAATCAGTAGTGGGAAATATGAAGGACG